TGATAAATAAAACTATGTTGCTTTATCAACCATATGGAAGCCAATGAGAAAAAATTTCTTCAAAGGCAGCTTCACAATAAGTCGGTTTCTATACGAATTATCAATCTAGAGACATCACAAGTAATTATAACCATATCTTGACATTCACAATCTTGGACTTCAGTGAAACCATGGGTTAACCTTTACAGAGAATGGTCGATGCTTGTTTATAAACCTTTTCCACTCGATTAATTGTTGGTTTAACAAAACCTTTAAAGTCCACTGAAGTTGACTGCGATTGCATTTTTACATCAAGTTCCCCTTTAGCAAAATTATAGTATGGATCCTTTCATAAGATTTTCCTGTGTAATGTACAAACAAATTAAAATCTTTAGTGGGAAAAAAAAATTAAATTGAAACATTTACGAACAGTTTAGAAAATAATGTTGGTTGAAGCTATTTTTTAACTATTAGTGCACCTGCAAGTCACAAGGATGAAGGATCCATTTATAACATAAAATAATTTGTAACTGAGGAAAGTCAGCTAATTTACTGAAGGGTAATTATAAAAATCGATCAAGCCCAAAACTCAATGATATTTTAGGCAACTACGATAATGAATACTATCCGATCCTGCAGCCTTCAAGGGAGAACGGAGCGAGTAAATGATAAAAGGCGAGGAAAATGATTTATAAATAATATGTACCTTGATTTTCACACATAGCAAAATATCAAATCATAGAAGCAAAATGTCTGTAAAACTCGCGTCTGAAAACGAGTATTGGCATTTGGAAACGGGGAAAGTAAACTGTAAAGCGGAAGAACTCATCTTGTTGTGACTTTGAGGTGAGTATGAAAGTGATCTTCACAATAATGAATACTACTTAAGAAGTGGTAAAATCAGGCCTGAGGAACAAAAAATTCAGGTCTATAGAGGATATTCCCTTAAAATCGTCATTTTTAGTAGCAAATTATTGCACGAATTTGAGGGCTTCGCGTGCAAAAACGAATCACTATCTCGTCTTTTAAACACTCAAATATTCTTTTTCGATCTCACAAGACCTCGCAAAATGATTTTTGTAAACATTGCGCTCTTCTTTGCGCTTAAAATTATTTAATTTTGAAATCATGCATTTCTCTTCAGTAAAAATACTTCGTAAATAAAATTAATTTTCACCATGTGCTAAACCTTCAAATGGATTAAGCTTTTGGTGGTTGAATTTCGAAAAGATGTTCTCAATATAACTGTATTGGGCAAATGATTGAGAGCGATACAAAAGCTCCTCAAAGTCCGTAAAAATGCAGTTATTTGACCTTTTGCGGTCAACATTCCAATCGCGAGTCACACATATTTGAATATGTTTCAACCAATATGAGGCCGAAAAATGTACATAGAAAGATATTTCCAAATGCTCTAACCTCATTTGCCGCAGAAGACCGATCCAGAGACCATTTTGGTGTGATTCTCTTGTCGTTCGTCGTATTTAGGTCTGTATAAATGATAACGTCCGATGAAACCACCAACCCTGTCGAACACCATCTTGTTGTCAAACGTTCGATATCTTTCTCCACTGTGGCGTCTTATTCAACAGTTCAGTTGACTGCGAGTATTGCTTAGTTTACAATGCACTAAAAGATTACATCTGACAGTCTAATTCAATGCTAAACGAGTTGACTACAAACATGTACGCCCTTTGAGTATTTGGGTTGTCACGCAATACCGGTGACAAAAGAACTTTAGGGGTTTGGTGAAGGACAAAACTCCATATAATTAAGCACTACCAGAATTGAACTCTTGGAACCCACAAAATATTTTATTCTGTAAAAATTTTTGTAATAGTGTCATCTTTGTCTGGTGACAAACAGTAAAATACATTAATTTATTGTAGGGAATTATTCTTGTTTTCTTGGCGCTCTGTGCCTGTCGTACTTATTAGGGGTGTTTTTCTTTCCACTAAAAATTGCAAGAAATACCCTAATAGCATGAAAGAGAACCTTTTGTAGATTTTTACAACACCATGCTACAAAACGCAGTGGTGGGGATGTGTGGCTTATTTGAGGCTGGGGTGCTATGTTCCGTAGCCAATGGTTGGGGCTTGCATAAGGGAGTGGTACTATTAACCACTGTTAACAGACCCAACTACCGTTTAAAACCTTAAACTACAGAGGGGCCGACATATGTGCGCTCGGCATAAAATAAGGTCGATCTCATCTTCAGGACCGGTAAATTTGAAAGCCGACTCATGACTTGCGATATTCTTGGTGCATGAAAGTAAAGAAACGATTTCTGTTTCACGCATTCGATCTCTAGTGTTGTAACCACAAACTCCGCCAATAAGCGACTTGAACGAACAACAACCTTCCATTTTTTATGTAACAAAGTTGACCGTGTAAGTTAGTGTATTTGTGAAAAACAAAGTCCGACTGCCCCGCCTCTAAGCGAACAATAGGCATTGTGTAATTACCATAAACCAGGTTTTGTTTACTTAGGCTTACTATTTATAGCAGGTACTAAATTTAGCTTTTCAACGAGTATTAGCCAAAGGCCCGATCTCCGCGACTTACATGTAAGAGATTTCGATGTTCACAACAACAAAAAAACTCAGCAGCAGGGTGACGTCTTTTTACTTTCCCCTTCCCCTACCCCCTAAAAAATAACTTTCCATTGTATGATTTGCATTGCGTGACGACTCTCCGTATACAAAACTACGTTGACTGCAACATGTGTAGTGCCACTTTTAAAAGCATCGATCAGATCTACTGCACCACAAACCGAACAACACTCACAGTCAACTGAACCACTGAATAAGATGTCACAGTGCACAAAGATGTCAAACGTTTTATAACGAAGGTTGGTGATAGTTCGCAGATTGACAGGCATTTCATCGGAAGTTATAAATACGACGAGCGACAAGATAACCATAGTAAAATAGTCTTTGGATCTTTCTTCGAAGGCAAATGAGGTTAGAGCATTTGGAAATTTGTACCCATGTACATTTTCCGACCTCATATGGGTTGAATCATATTAAAGTATGTGTGTGACTCGCGACTGGAATGTTGACCGCGAAAGGTCAAATAACTGTTTTTTAAAGGACTTTGAAAAGCTTTCGTATCGCTCTCAATCATTTGCCCAAAGAAATTTTTATAGTAGTATTGAGAACATCTTTTCGTAATTCTACCGCCAAAAGCTTAATCAATTTGAAGGTTTAGCACATGCTGAAAATTAAATTTACTCACAAAGTACTTTTACTGAAGAGAAATGTATGCTTTCGAAATTAAATTATTTTACACGCAAAGAGGAACACAGTGTTTACAAAAATCGTTTTGTGAGGTCTTATGAGGTTGAAAAAGAAGATTCTAGTGTTGAAAAGACGAGATTTTGATTCGTTTTTGAATGCGAAGCCCTCAAACTTCTGCAATAATTTGCCGCTAAAAATGACGATTTTATCGGAATTTTGTTATTTGTATTTTTCTCTGAAATAAAAAGATATTTTTCCAAAAAAAGGATCCAGTGATTTTAGTTATAGTCTAGCCTATCTAATATTAAAATAAGGAAGAAATCGAATTTTTCACCCTTGCCGCGAAATTTAGAATTTCTCTGATTTTTACAGACAAGCGCTCTTAAATAGCAAAAAAGATTTTTGATGTTTAACCAATGATAAATTCTCTCACTCTCTTGAATTTTAACTAAATGAAAAGTTCTCATTTATTTAATCTATTAATAAAACTGAGATAAACTTACTTTGCAGAAGCAAAACACTAATATGGGTTTGATGAATGCTTCAAAATTTATGCAAAATGCGCGCAGGCCAAAAGAGCAAACTAATTACCCATATTTTATCTTGTATTACCTCAGTGATTTGTTTCCTGTTGTTACATTTTTCAGGGCAGTGCTATTTACTGCAACTCAACCCGATAATTTTTCAAGAAAATTTAAAAAAAGGTTACAACTATTGATTCAGATAATGTTAATTACTTCTGCAGCGCCACATCCGAATGACCCCAACGTTTACGGTGATTGGACCAATGGTGGTAATACTATGGGTGGTTCCCACGTTAACGGTAACTCAGGTTAAGGCTATCATAACAATGGTTATTACGGAAAAAGGGATATTGATAAGTGGTGGTTACAGAATATGAATATATGGATATGTTATATATGTACTTTTGATTAATAAATAAAGAGGAGAGCGATCCTTGCAGTAATGAACACTACTTAAACAGTAATGGAAATAAAGTCCGAAATAAGACCGGAAAAAACTCAAGTCTCTACGGGATTTGAACCCATGATCTCTGCGATACCGGTGCAGTGCTCCACCAACTGAGCTAACAAGCCAACTGGGAGCTGGTAATTATGTTTATTCGTGCAAAGAATGAAATTATATCCACAAACACCTCAAAGATTATTTAAACTTGATGAATCAAAAATACAGACTCAGATCTAAGGCCCCTCAACGAGCGAGATTTCCTAGACTTTTCCAAGACTCTCCTCAATCTACTTGTGCGAAATACTTTTCCGAATCAGATGCCAGTCAAAGCATAACGCGCTGTTATTACGAAACTAGACGAAGAAAAAAAACAAGTAACAAATCACATGCGAGTAACGAGTTCTCTTTTCGACAACTTGTAATAAATTGTCCAACAAGTACACATATAAGGCTCTCCGTGGGGTTCACCATTAGCCGTAAAACAGCCAACATATTTAGGCGTAAACTATGGCGCGCCTTTCCAGTCAATATTCAAACAACCTTAATATACAATACATCCATTACATTTCTTTGCCATATTTTTTATTTCCTTTCTGTAGCTGTTTTATTTTGCTTCTTTATTTTTCATTTTGCTTCTATATTTTTTATATCTCTTCCTATTATTTTATATATACGTGTTTAGCTCATCTTTTTTTTATTTTGTACTCTTTATCTTATATGCGTTCTATATTTTTTATATTTATTCCATATTTTTTTTTTGTTTCGAGAGGGATTTTTTATTTTCTTTCTAATTAGTATGCAACACGTGATCACATGACCGCGATGCACTTTTCCGACAATTTCAAAAGCAAAATGGCGGATGGAACTTTAAGAGGTGGCAACGAGAGAGGCCTTTACAACTTCGTAGAGTCTCTTCGTACCCTGTTGATTGGTATTCAGAATTTGAACACACAAGATGTCTCCGCTGATTACTTTGAACAAGCTAACGTGCGTCTGGAAGATGCAATTTTAACTTTACAGTTGCTATTGCATAGTGTATGGCAAAGTGAGGACTCTGTCCTTCGAGATTTCAAGACAATAATAGAAGCTGTTTTGACAAAAGTACGCTTTGTTTTTCGTGCAATTACAAAGTACGAGGAAAGAAATTCCGTTGAAGCAACGATATCAAATTCATTCGCTTGTCCTACCACTAAACTAACAAGTGCAGGAAGACCAGTAATCGTCATCGAAAGAGAGCAGATCGAATTCTTACGCGAACTGCATTTCTCCTGGGTAAAAATCGCTAGTTTGTTAGGTATCAGTGAAAGTACTTTACGTCGAAGAAGACGGGAATTAAATTTGGATGATGACAGCGAAAACTGGACCGCATTGTCAGGTGCGCAGTAATTTACAGACTAAGGTTATCTGTACTAGTAGCTTATTTGGTTTAATGCTTATTATCAGTGTGTTTGGACAAGGGTGATATAGTTTCGGGTAAAACAAATCTTGGAATCCATACCCTTAGTCAAAATATTTTAGGTTCCCCATCTCACTCAATGATGTACGACACTTCAAACTTTATGAATTAAACTAGAACTTCTTTTCAGATTCTCAGCTTGAAGACGCTGTCAAAGAAATTAGAAGCATTACTCCAAACATTGGACAACGAAGATTGCTTGGAGCTCTCCGAGCAAGGGGATTTCGAATCCAGCGATGGAGAGTTCGTTACTGTCTTCGTAGACAAGACCCGCTTGGGACAGCACTTCGCTGGAGTACTCCGGTTTACCGTCGAAAGTACTCTGTACCAACGCCAAACGCTTTGTGGCACATAGACGGAAACCACAAGCTTACCAGGTACAGGTTTGTAGTGCATTGCTGTGTTGATGGGTATTCAAGGGTTATTGTGTATGCCACCCTAACTGATAACAACCGAGCAGATACAGTGTTGGAGCTCTTCATCAAGGGAGTACAAGAGTTTGGCTTACCTTCAAGAGTAAGAAGCGATCATGGACTGGAAAATGTTAGAGTGGCACAGTACATGTTGGAAAATAGAGGACTAAACAGAGGAAGTATCATAACTGGAAGCTCTGTCCACAACTGCCGCGTTGAGCGTGCTCACAAGGATGTTTACGCTGGTGTCCTTTGTCACTTTGCCAATATCTTTAGTGGAATGGAAGACATGGGTCTTCTTGACCCGTTAAATGAAGTACATTTATTTTCATTGCACTTTGTATACATACCAAGGATAAATAGGGCATTGCAACACTTTACTAGTCAATGGAACAATCACCCTGTCTCCAGTGAACATCAATTATCTCCCCTACAAATTTTTGCCTCTGGGATTTTGGAAAACATGCACTCTGGATACTCTGGAGTTGAAAGTATTCTACATCCAAATGAAATTCCATTGTATGGGTTTGATCCAGATGGACCTATCCCGTTAGACGACGACGATTACCAGGTCTCAATACCAGCAGTTGATGTTCACCTCACACCACAACAACTGCATATCTTGGAAGTCTCCTGTCACCCTTTGAATGACGATGGTGAACATGGTAGAACTCAATATTTGAGATGCATAGACATCCTCAGGAATCAGTTCAACATATAAGAAACTTGGCTGGTAACTATCTTTCAAAACAGGTGTTCCCAGCATTCAATTAACCTGAAATTCGTTGTTTAGAGAGTGAAAACAGGGCCAGAGAATTAAGATCAATTAATGCCTATCAAACAGGTACCACTATTACAGATTGAAAACGTAAACAGTGTTAAATTTATTAATTGCCTTCAAATTGTATCAATCAGAATAGAACAACGAATGCAACTTAACCTTTACAACAGTCAAGAAAAAATACATTAAAATCTCAACAATAAAGTTCTAAACAACTGCACTCACTTGAAAATGTCAACTTTGAACAGACAACAATATATTAGCTAACGATTTCCCAGTTTGATTTACTGGAAAATAATATGTGCACTATTGTTAGATGTTTTAAAATCGTAAATACCCATCCAAGGTAGAAAACATAATTTCACTACAAAAATGAATTAACAGTCTGTTCTATCAGCTTGCCATCATAATGGTCTTCTTTTTGTCACAAGGCATATTACACAATATCCATTTCCCAATAATCTGATGCAAGTATTGCACTGAACTCCTCTCTAAGTTCAGGAAATGACTGATAAGTCGAGGATAGCTCCAACACAGTATTACATGTGTGGGCAATTGGTCGGCGACCCAAACCAGATAAGTTGGTAAAATTTACTTGGACTGCGTCAAAAAGCATTAACTCAGACCCACTGATAAACCTTACAAACTTTGATAATTTCTGAGGCGTGTCAAGGCCCTTAATATACCGATTGAGAAACTTAAGGCTATCCCTTTCCCCATCACTCTCAGGGTTTGCCTCTAGGCAACTAAGGATTTTGCTTGTGGATGGTATTAAAAATTCATACCTTTTGGAAATTGCTGCAAAATCAGGAAAACTAGGAAGGAGTGTGGAAACTATATCCTTCCAGCAGTCTGCAATATACTGTGGCTTCTGCAGCAGCTCCTTATGGGCTATTTCTTCAATAACTTGAATAATATTCTCAGAATTTACTATAATTCGACAGTCATAGTTACTAAAAACTTCTAAAAGCTGGGACATTTCATCTTCATCATCCCACTTCATATCACTTTGCACTTGTCAATCAAACATTTTTCATCAACTGAAATGTAATTTCTAAAGGATTGAGTCAGCATAGCACTAGTTACTGCAGATTCCCCCCAAAAAAGACAGGCAAGGAATGTTTGAGACAAAAGGACTGGTAGGTATTGACAGGTTAAATATCCTTTCACCAAAATTCTGCCAACAGCAACCCATTCATCCCTTTGATAATCATGTCTTACAAATGGTACACGCTCATTTTCTCCAACAAAAAGGGAATCATACGTTTCTTTCCAAAAAAGAGAGAAAACATCTCTGAGCAACCCAACACCTCTTCCCACTTCTTCAACTCCCCTAGCATCAATAACAATTATCTCTATGTCCTGACTCATAATTAATGGATCTCGGAATAAGTCAATCAAATCCTTCTTAATATTTAGCCTGTGCACTTGGATGATACGTTTTGGTAACAGTTGAGGTACAGGTACTGATACAGACACAGGTACATGCTCAGATGATGCATGAACAATATCAGAGTTACTGCCTGTCTCTACATCATTTAACTCTGTATTTTGATGTAATGTTTCTGCTTCAGTTGGAAATGGTACACAATAAGGTTGTGCAGCATCCTGGCAGGGGTGGGACACCACAGCTGCATCTGGCCTCTCTTCACTCTCCCCAAATGAAAGCAACAGAGAACTTCTTTGTGCTCCACTAACACTAAAAGGAAATATCAACTTGTCACAAACCATAAAAAAGGGAACTAATTGGCAATGATGTAACAGACTATGAAGGTTCATCCTTATACAAATATCCACAATCACATGGAGTTGCAATAAACCACATTAATTTATGTCCTGTCCTGTCAAACAATTGAATAAAGATCTGAGCAAACAAATAAATAAATAAATAAATAACCAATAAAATAAATAAATACACAAATCTGTTTGGAGACAAACTAGATAATATTTCCAACAAAAAGCCATTGTCATGCCTAGTAGCATGATCTGGGATACCAGTCTATCATATATAAGATGATTCCACTGCAACGAGAAGCTACCTTTGCAGTGAGGCAAAAAAGCTAAAAGAAATCTATACAGGTTTTATCTTGTTCAATGCAAAAATTCACAAGAAAAAGTTCACCTTGGACTGTTATCTAATGCTGAATTCTCTAGCTCCTCTTCAGTTTCACCCTCATCTTCAGATTCCAAAGGCACCAGTGATCTAACATAAACAGCTCCTTGACCAGCCATCCTGGTCACTCTTTCTGCATCCAGAGTTATGCCTTCTGCCAGCTTAGGAGTTATTAGCTTTCCATAGCATGGCTAGGTTAAGAAAAACACACATTACTTGCACGCTTCTTGCAAAAGTCAAGGGTAAATCTAATGAAAGAGTAGTTAAGTTAAACTTATATCACAAGGAAGGAGAAAGGGGTGGGAGCGGGGCAGTACCAGAGGAAATCTAAAATAACCCAACAAATTCTGCCAAAAATTCGAAGTCCATTACTCGCGTCACTGCAGGTATCCTCTCATGTGGTTAAATTTTTGGCAAAATAGTATAAATGCGTATTTAAAAATAGTGCAGCCACAACAAATGTACAAACTGAACAGCAATGATATTATTAAAGCATTAACGTAGAACAATGTTTAAACTTATATCACAACGCAAAGTTACCCACCTTGACATATTCAAATAGCAAAAGCTTTGGAAATCGATTCAATATAGCAGCTTTGAGGGAATGTGCATCCCAGCTCTTGTCAAAGGGAAACTCGTGGCAGACAAGTTCTCTCTCTTCTAACTGAAGTCGGGTTGTATGTGTAGGCACTTTGTTGATCTCGGGACTGGGAATAAGGACTAGATCCTTGTAGACAAGTGTCTTGGGTGGGCGGCCTTTGGTCGACTTAATGGTCTGCTTTGACCTTGCTGGTCTTCTACTAGTGCTTTTCCCACTAGCTCGGTTCGAACCAATTGTCGGAAAGAGAGTGGCAAGCCGAGCTTGAATAGAACTGTTAGAGGCTGGCGACGTCGAGGACTGAATGGCAAGTTCGTTCGACTGAAGTTCCTCGTTGTTTACCTTACGATCCCCGTTGTTCGGCTGACTGACAGAGACTGACGTTGAATTCATCCGAGGTATTACATTTCTCGTAAAACCAGGTCTCAAATTACTTAAAATCTCTAAAGCATCCGCGGCCGCACGACAAGCAGTCGATAGCTCTTCCTCCATAAAGCCGAACGCCAAAATGGCGGAATGGAAAAAAAAGTGTAGCGTGGTCATGTGATCACTTGTTGCATACTAATTAGAAAGAAAATAAAAATCCCACTCGGAACGAAAAAAAAATATGGAATGAATATAAAAAATATAGAACGCATATAAGATAAAGAGAAAAAATCGAAAATAGATGCGTTAAACACGTGTATCTAAATTGATAGGAAGAGATTTAAAAAATATAGAAGGAAAATGAAAAATAAAGTAGCGAAAAAAATATATCTACATAAAGGAAATAAAAAATATGGCAAAGGAATGTTATGGATGTATTGTATATTAAGGTTGTTTGAATATTGACCGGAAAGGCGCGCCATAGTAAACATTGACAAATTTTAACCGAAAGTCTTCATGAAATTTAACCATAAAAACTTTTCAGTTTATCGTAGTCGAAAGAGATAAACAGCTAGCCGTCAAATGACATATGGCTCAGCAGTCCACCCATCGAGCCCCTCAAATCTACCTTCTAAATTTAGTAACAATGCGAAGAGACGAAGGCGGTCCAGTACTAATTATCATTTCTAACGCCCAATCGCACCTCATGGTTGGCTTCCCATAACAGAAATTGTACCACGTCCCAATTAAGAAGGAGACATCACTTAAAGCTACAAATATTGATCCTAGATTCATGAGTACTTTGTTTTCAATATAAAGTCGAGCGCGCGCGCAATATTATTGTCTTTCCGAGAACTTCTTTGTTGATGCAAGATTCCCTTGATAATTATTTTATGATCTTCTATAAATAATTTAAATTTAGTTTTTTGTCACCAAAATATTTTGCTTTCATAATTTACTATTTCGCGCGCACGACATTCTATGCGTTCCTATGATTTCTTTGCTAATGTAAACTTGTTTTTTTCAAATATTCCCACCCACATTCCCCCTTTGAAACCATCCATGGAGGGACTATCAAGTACTTATTATGCTAATAAGTGTCCTTTGACTGCAAGAAAAACGTTGAATTAATGTTGGGCCAAGTTACCATCTCCATGAAAAAAAACTTTCCTTGTAAGGAATTGAATGTTTTTCTAGAGCGTGTACAAAGATAGTTAACGAGGTAAGAAAAAAAAGTGAGAGACGTTTGGAGAGGAGTAATGTCATTTCTACGTGCGCTCATTCGAATGTGGCAAGTAGTTATTCCCTATAAGAAAAAAGAAAATCATAGCGTTGACATTCAAAACCTCAATTATAATTTCTCATAAGGCTATCAATAGTTGTAACGTACACCTACATATAAACTTATTAAAAGTACCTACTGTTCATTGAGGTCGTAATATAAAAAAAAACTAACTTCGAAACAATCAACCAGGGGATCTTAAATTTTTTTTTTAATTCGATGTTACATATCAAATGTCGTGCGCGCGCTCAACTGTAACTTGAAAACAAAATACTTGTGAATTCACCATCAATATATACAACCCCTTGTAATGTTTCCTTCCTGTGTGGGACATGATATAATTTCCATTATCACCATTGGTTGATTAGGCACTTAAAATGTGAATAAGTATTGTTTGGTTGTTATAAAAACATCAGATACTTTTAGCATTCCCCATATCATTATTGGCTCTCACAAGATCCGGGAATACAAAGTCCAGAATTTTTCTGAAGTTAATTATCAATAATAAGATTGCAAGGTATTTCCTCGCTTCCATACCATCTGGGCAAGTTAAATGCAGTTTGTCTGCAATTTTAGGGCAGGTTTAATCTATTTCAGTGGCATTTCATCCATTTTTCCGAGCTTTCTTTAATGTTTTCATTTCATAGTTCCTAGACGGAGTGGGTAATGAACACAACTTACGAACAATTCTGTGTTTGAAGTAACACTTTGTTTTGCTCCGATTTTTTTTTTAAAAGAAAAGCAGAATATGAACCGATGACTCTAGTGGTGGTGAATTCATTTCCCTTGAAAAATGATGAAGACTCTTCGTTGAAAAGGAAGGTAATGTCGGAAATACAACAGCTTTGTTTTTTTTCAAATGGAATCGTTAAAGATACTTTTTTCACGTTTGGAGAATCTTTATTGGTGTCTCGTAAACGATCAAGGATATTGTTGGTGTTTATTCATTAATCTTTTTTTATGGATCCAAACAACAAGCCATCCGTACTGTTTTTGTTTTTAAGCTCTTTCACGGTGAAAGTCGGATCGGTACTCGATCAAAAGCCTTTGCTACAATCCTTATTCTGTACCGGTGTTGACTGCTTTTTGACCATATCAGTAATTTTTTTGTTTTTTCAAGATTTTGCGCCTAACTGCTTATCACAGAGTGTTGATTGGTGAGTGCAATTTTTAAACATTTTTTAGTGCTTTTTGCCAATTGTCAAAAAACAGATTTTTGATGTTTAAGCAATGATAAATTCCCTTCACTCTCGTGAAGTTTAACTACACGTACAGCTCTCATTTATTTCATCTGTTAATAAAACTGATATAAACCTACTTGCAAAAGCACCACACTGATACAAATTAGCCAAATTTCATCTTGTATTACGTCAGTGATTTGTTTGCTCTTGTTAGATTTTTCAGTGCAGTCCTGTTTACTTCAGTTCAACTTTACAATTTTCTAAGAAATTTTTAAAAACGTTACAAATATTGATTTCAGCCGGATGTTAATTACTTTCGCAGCGCCAAGTCTGAACGACCCCGCTCAACCAAATAAATGTGGCGTCAATGTTGGTGGAGGGCACAATAATGGTAATCACGGTTGGGGTGTGAATGTTGGTTGGCACAGTGGGGGTGTCAATGTTGGTGGAGGGCACAATAATGGTAACTACGGTTGGGGTGTGAACGTTCGTTGGCACAGTGGGGGTGTTAATGTTGGTGGAGGGCGCAATAATGGTAACTCAGGATGGGGCTTTAATTTTGATTCACAAGGAAAAAGTGATATTGGTAAGCGCATTCCGGCACTGATCGATAATTCTAATGGTATCTCTCTGTCGTTATGTTGTTGTTGTTTGTTTCTCCAAACACAATCAGGGAATTTTTGCCTCAATACAATGCAGACTTTTTCCTGCTCTTATGATGTGGTGGGCAGTCTCTGTAGTTTTGTATGAGATGAACCATCCCACCACCAACCTCTTCTTCCCGACCTCTCCTCTCCCCCCCTCCCCACCCCCCCTTCACTTGCTTGCTTTTATCCATCCATTCGATTAATTAGCAATATTTTATCCCGTATTACGTCAGTGATTTGTTTGCTGTTGTTAGATTTTTCAGTGCAGTCCCATTTACTTCAACTCAACCTCATAATGTTCCGAGAAAATTAAAAAAAAGTTACAACCATTGATATCAGATAATGTTAATTACTTTTGCAGCGTCTCATCTGAATGACTCCAACGTTTACGGTGATTGGATCAATGGTGGTAATACTATCGGTGGTTCCCACAACAATGGTAACTCAGGTTGGGGCTATCCTCATAGTAATGGTTATTACGGAAAAAGGGATATTGGTAAGTGCATTCAT